GCCAAGGGTAGTGAACACCACCCCAAGGGTAATGAACACCACGCTAAGAATAGTGAACAACATGCCAAGGGAAGTGAACACCATGTCAAGGGTAGTGAACACCACGCCAATGGTAACGAACACCACGCAAAGGGTTGTGAACTCCATTCCAAGGGTAGTGAACATGATGCCATGAGAAGTGAACACGATGCCAAGGTTAGTGAACACCACACCAAGGGTAGTGAACATGACGTCAAAGGTAGTGAAGACCACGCCAAGGGTAGTGAAAATGACGTTAAGGGTAGTGAACACCATGCCAAGGGTAGTGAACAAAACTCTAAGGGTAGTGAACAATACGCCAAGGGAAGTAAACACCACGCCAAGGGTAGTGAACACCACGCCAAAAGTAGTGAACACAACGCCAAGGTAGTGAACATGACGTCAAGGGTAGTGAACACCTCGCTAAGGGTAGTGAACACAATGCCAAGGATAGTGAACACCACGCCAAGGGTAATGAACACCATGCCAAGGGTAGTGAACACCAAGCCAAGAGTAGTGAACACCACAACAACGGTAGTGAACACCACATATAGGGTAGTGAACACCACACCAAGGGTATTGAACACCACGCCAAGGGTATTGAACACCATGTCAAGGGTAGTGAACACAAAACTAATGGTCGTGAACACCACATTAAGGGTGGTGAACACCACGCTAATGGTAGTGAACACCACACCAAGGGTAGTAAACACCACTCTACAGGTAGTGAACACAACGCTAAGGGTAATGAACACCACACCAAAGGTAATGAGCACCATGCAAAGGGTAGTGAACACCATGCCAAGGGTAGTGAACACCACACCAAGGGTTGTGAAAACCACACCAAGGGTAGTGACCACCACGCCAAGAGTAGTGAACACGCCAAGGGTAGTGAACACCATGCCAAGGTTAGTGAACACTATGCCAAGGGTAGTGAACAACATGCCAAGGGTAGTGAACACCATGCAGAATGCAGTGAACACCATGCCAAGGGTAGTGAACACCACGTCAAGGGTAGTGAACACCATGCCAAGGGTAGGTAACACCATGCCAAGGGTAGGTAACACCACGTCAAGAGAAGTGACCACCATGCCAAGGGTAGTGAACACCACACCAAGTGGAGTGAACACCACGCCAATGGGTAGTGAACATGATGCTAAGGGTAGTGAACACCACGCTAAGGGTAGTGAACACCACGCCAAGGGTAGTGAACACCATGCCAAGGGTAGTGAACACCATGCCAAGGGTAGTTAACACCACGTCAAGAGTAGTGAAAACCATGCCAAGGGGAGGTAACACCACGCCAAGGGTAGTGAACACCATGCCACGGGTAGTGAACACCACACCAAGTGGAGTGAACACCACGCCAATGGGTAGTGAACATGACGCTAAGGGTAGTGAACACCACGCTAAGGGTAGTGAGCACCACGCCAAGGGTAGTGAACACCACGCCAAAAGTAGTGAACACCATGCTAAGGGTAGTGAACACCACGCCAAGGGTAGTAAACATGACGCCAAGGGTAGTGAACACTACACGAAGGGTAGTGAACACCACGCCAAGGGTAGTGAACAGGTAGCCTAGGCCTGGTGTTCACCACCCTTGGCATGGTGTTCACTACCCTTGGCGTGGTGTTCACTACCCTTAGCGTGGTGTTCACTACTCTTGAGGTGGTGTTCACTACTCTTGGCGTGGTGTTCACTAACCTTGGCATGGTGTTCACTACCCTTTACATGGTGTTCACTACCCTTGGCATGGTGTTCACTACCCTTGGCGTCGTGTACACTACCTTGACGTGGTGTTCATTACCATTGGCGTGGTGTTCACTGCCCTTGGCATGGTGTTCACTTCCCTTGGCATGGTGTTCACTATTCTTAGCGTGGTGTTCATTACCCTTGGGGTGGTGTTCACTACCCTTGGCTTGGTGTTCACTATCCTTTGCGTGGTGTTCACTACCCTTGGCGTGGTGTTCACTACCCTTGGCATGGTGTTCACTACCCTTTACATGGTGTTCACTACCCTTGGCGTGGTGTTCACTACCCTTTACGTGGTGTTCACTACTCTTAGCATGGTGTTCACTACCCTTGACGTGGTGTTCACTACCCTTGGCATGGTGTTCACCACCCATGGCATGGGTATCACTACCCTTGGTGTGGTGTTCACTACCCTTGGCGTGCTGTTCACTACCCTTGGCGTGGTGTTCACTACCCTTGGCGTGGTGTTCACTACCCTTGGCGTGGTGTTCACTACCCTTGGCGTGGTGTTCACTACCCTTATCGTGGTGTTCACTACCCTTGGCATGGTGATCACAAACCTTGGTGTGGTGTTCACTACCCTTGGCGTATTGTTCACTACCCTTGGCGTGGTGTACACTACTCTTGGCGTGGTGTTCACTACCCTTAGCGTTGTGTTCACTACCCTTAGCGTCATGTTCACTACCCTTAGCATGGTGTTCACGACCCTTGGTGTAGTGTTCACTACCCTTGGTGTGGTGTTCACTACCCTTGGCGTGTTGTTAACTATCCTTGGCGTGGTGTTCACTACCCTTACCGTTGTGTTCACTCCCCTTGGTGTGATGTTCACTACCCTTAGCGTGGTGTTCACTACCCTTAACATGGTGTTCACTACCCTTGGCATGGTGTTCACTACTTTTGGCCTGGTGTTCACTACCCTTCGCATGGTGTTCACTACTTTTGGCGTGGTGTTCACTACCATTAGCGTGGTGTTCACTACTTTTAGCGTGGTGTTCACTACCCTTAGCGTGGTGTTCACTACTTTTGGCGTGGTGTTCACTACCCTTTGGTTTGGGGAGCCGGTCGGCCGAGCGGACAGCACGCGGGACTTGTGATCCTGTGGTCCTAGGTTCAATCCCAGGCGCCGGTGAGAAACAATGGGCAGAGTTTCTTTCACCCTATGCCCCTATTACCTAGCAGTAAATTAGGTGCCTGGGTGTTAGTCAGCTGTCACGGGCTGCTTCTTGGGGGTGGAGGCCTGGTCGAGGACCGGGCCGCGGGGACACTAAAAAAGCCCCGAAATCATCTCAATATAACCTCAAGATAAGATAATCCTTGGCATGGTGTTCACTACCCTTAGCGTAGTGTTCACTAGCCTTGGCGTCATGTTTACTACCCTTGGCGTGGTGTTCACTACCCTTAGCATGGTGTTCACTACTTTTGGCGTGGTGTTCACTACCCTTAACGTGGTGTTCACTACCCTTAGCGTAGTGAACACCACACCAAGTGTAGTGAACACTACATTATATTTTGATTCTAAACTATGCTGGCAATGATGAATGGGAGACAGAAATAATTATACTGTCTACTGCAGATGTTTTACAGATGTCGAGTTTTACCTGGATAGCCAATACTTCAACTTGAAAGGTGGATTACCAGTTATACGACTCTTATACTTTTGTTCCATCTGTGTTGCCGTCTGGCTGATAAACAATATCAGGCGTAAACAACCTCCGGGAGTTCTAGGCAACTGTTGTGGGTTGTATCCTCGGGAAGGTCAGTTGTTGGCTTAGGGAGAACCTCAATAAGCTTAACAGGTTCCTGTTTCCCTCCCCCACCCCTCTCCAATTTCCACCTAGAAGACTGCAAATCCAATTAGGCGACTCGTAATATAAACAACCAAGAAGGTGTAAACTAAAACGAATCAACCTTACTGATACCAGCAGACATGTTTTAGAAACACTCAACCATCAGCAAACAATGCTCTCATGAGCAACAATGAATCGGTTCAGTTGGAAGGTTAAAGTCCTCTGCAGGGATATGAGTGACAGTGCATACGTGTATCACCGCCACAGACAGGAGCCAGGTGGTTAGTGAAGCCAATCCTCGGGCATGAGCTGTGTACGTTAGGTTAGGCCACCACCTTCCTGGTCATGAACAGCACCAGACGTGGTCTGTGTGTCAGGTCATGTCAACAGTACTTTGAACATAACCTCTGTGTGTTTAAGACAAGTATTATATGACATTAAAGTAAGAACCAGTTGTGTATGGGTACAAGTGACAGGATGAACAACCCAAGGAGTTTCCTTCCTTCCTATTTAATACATGTTACTAAGGCGGTGTGTTCACTCACAGGATGAGTGATGCAGCCCAATACTCTCACTATTGCGATTTCGCAGTCCCCCGTACAAAGTGGTAACACACTCGCCTAGTGTTTTGCGATTGTTCCTGGATTCGTATCCTAGCCGGGAATGATTTACTTGGAGCCAATCCTGAACTGTAGCCTCTGTTCACCCAGGAGTAAAATGGGTAGATTTAGTGGGTCGTATTCCGGGGAACATAGGATTAAGGACTTGCCCGAAACGTTATGCGTGCTAGTGACTTTACGAGAATGTAAGAACGCTTGTATATGTTGTGACGATAATCTCCTTCAAGAGATTGAGCCTGCTCTTCCCTCCAAAAATACGTCGCAACAAATATATAAAACTACTATGGAAGAAATGTCCAACAACGACAACAACATCTCCAAGGTTTGCCAGAGCGCAAAACGTATGCAGCCAGGGACACCTGCTCAGACTCAAACCGCCAAACTACCTGTCTTACTGCCGGCTCCTCGCTGATTGGTCGCCGGTCTGGCTGCAACTGCACTCGCCCACCATACTACTTGATGTCTGGGGCCGCCACGACCTCAGTCCTCAGAATATTCCGTGCTTTCACAGTTAACACTTCTCCCTGCTAGACGTAAGCTTTGGTGTACGTGTACTAAGAGAGGTGATAGCTTAAAGCCAATATTCCAGCACCTTTCATTTACTTGTATATTGCACTTCTTGTTATTTTGCTCACTTGTCTTAACGTAACTTTTCATTGTGTCACTTAATTATTCTTATTATTTTGATTGATTGATTTTATTATACGAATTTGTAAGTCCATTTTATTCATGTTTTGTTTATTTAACGTAATTAAAATTTCATTGTTAAAGTTTACTTGTGTTTTGTGTGTCTTCTCCTTACCTTTACCACAGACGAAGTTCCAGATTTTCTATTTTTTTTAATACTATGTGACGAGGCCATACCCCTAGCTTTGAACAGCCGAACACCAACGCGTTACCGTCACAATGTATATAAATAAATACAAATAATTGTTCTCTCGCAGGATGAGTGACGCTGCCCAGTAGACTTTTCCTTCGGGAGGAAAACAGAGAAATAAAATATCCAAGCCAAGGACACTTAGCTCACAGGATGAATGGCGCTGTCCAGCATGCTTTCCTTCGGGAGGAAAACAAACAAAAATACCCGAGCCAACAGACATTGCCACTTAGCGTGAGACATAAACCAACAAGCAGGTTGTGGTGTGAAGCATACCAGCTAGGAGTTATGACGGTTGGCACACCGCCGCTCCCTGGCCTTCACTTCTCCGGCTAGCCAGATAGCAACAACCAGCCAGCCAGCTACCCAGCTAATCGGTTTGGACATGCCAGATCGGTTTATGGTCTCTTACCAGAATGCTGTAGCGTAAAAAGTATGGCACGCGTATAAGGAGGTTCGCGTTATACAATATACAGGGTTCAATGCCTCAAACTTGGCATGATCTGCGCCTGGAGAACAGGCGGGGCAACAAACACTCGGGGTGTATGTAGGTCATGGAGTCTATACATGTAGAGATACCTGGAAATATACATACCAGATATAGCCTATAAGAAGAGCAGAAACGATTTGCTCATAGACCTTTAAGTTGGAAACAACATTATTCAAAATATGTATAATAATAATAATAATAATAATAATAATAATAATAATAATAATTTATTTGCAAGAAGGTACAATTGGTTGGTGAGATTACATAAGACGTATTTTAACATTCTTGTAAAACCACTAACACGCATAGCGTTTCGGGCAAGTCCTTAATCTAACATATCAGGTAAGATGAAAAGGTACATTACAGCAAGGTTTTATATCTGCAAATAACTACAATATAGGTTTACATAGGTGACTACACTGGTAAGGATATATGTCTTAAGTACTAATATTGGAGGAGTTGGTAGAGATAAGGTATGTTTTGGTTTTACTTTTGAACAGTGAACAATTTTTTTAATTCATCAGGAAGTGAGTTCCAAAGACTGGGCCCTTTTATTTGCATGGAGTGTTTGCACAGATTTAGCCTGACTCTCGGGAGATATCAAAGATATATTTATTTCTGGAGTGGTGCTCATGGGTTATATTATACCTATCAAGGAAAAGTTTCAGATCAAGATTATAATTTACGAACAAGGTTTTGTACATGTAAATAGCACATGAGAATGTGTGGAGTGTATGTTTAGCATGTTAAGGGACTTAAACAGAGGGGTCTGTGTGTTGTTTGAATATAGAGTTTGTTATAGTTCTGATAGAAGATTTTTTCTTGGTGATGATGGGCTTAAGGTAATTTGCAGTGGTTAAACCCATGCACAGATACCGTATGTTTGGTAGCGATAGATTAGTGTGTTCTATAATGAGAGGAAAGCAGAGTGGGAAACATAATATCTGGTTTAGCTATTCATATCAGTTATACCGACCGTTATACCTGATATAACCAGAGAATAAGTAAGGAGTATAGCTTCAGTGGTTCTCACAATAGTCTTCCACTGTCACTAGCAGCAATACAAATCTTAGCAATACAGATGTTACTAGCAGCAGTACAGATGTTACTAGCAGCAATACAGATGTTACTAGCAGCAATACAGATGTTACTAGCAGCAATACAGATGTTACTAGCAGCAATACAGATGTTATTAGCAGCAATAAAGATGTTACTAGCAGCAATACAGATGTTACTAGCAGCAATACAGATGTTACTAGCAGCAATACAGATGTTACTAGCAGCAATACAGATGTTACTAGCAGCAATAAAAGATGTTACTAGCAGCAATACAGATATTACTAACAGCAGAACAGTTAAGTAATGGTAACTTCTTCTCACAGACATAATAATAGAATAAAAACCAACAAATGTATTTGTGAATTTTAGATAAAGATTTACACCAAGTTTTTTTGCACTCCAGAGTGCTTTGTCAAGGTCTGAGTCTGTGGTTACGACGAGACTTACATCTCAACGACTAACATTAGGTAGCAGCTTAATGAGGCTGCTACCTTGTTGTTGTTGTTTTAGATTCAGCTACTAGGAACAAAAAGTTCCAAGTAGCACTGGCTATAGTGAGCCCGTAAATGGAGGCTCTTTGGAGTCATTATCTGTATCAATAGCTGTTACTAGAGATTTGGGGATGGATGGTAGTCTTCATGGTGGATTTAAGCCCCGTAGGGCTGGCTGTACAGTTAGGGAGCTGGTGGGTTAGTGTAGACTTCTAGGTCTTCCTTCCTTCTTAGGCTGAGCCTTGCTGTTGGAGAGGCGGCCTCCATGAGGAGGTATTGTACCGCTCGCTACCTTGTGAATCCAATCCTCTGATCCTTCTCGACCTCCAGACCATGTCACATCTATTCCCGACAGCGGTTGCACCTGCGGGGATGTCGTCTATGGACTTATGGTTAGGTCAACTTTCTGTCATCCTGATAGTCTGAACACTAGAGTTGTTATGAATAGAGGTGTTCATAAAGTAATGTGGATGCTATCCCTCGTGACTCCATCCATACCCAACGGAAAGCGGCTATTGGGACTACTTACCCTTGGTTTTACAAATTAGTGGTGTTCACTCCTTCCAGCAGTAATTAACTCTTCTCTCTCTCTCTCTCTCTCTCTCTCTCTCTCTCTCTCTCTCTCTCTCTCTCTCTCTCTCTCTCTCCAAGTGGCTACATAGAATTTCTCTTGATCTTGACTTGTTATATTGCCTACGCTAACATTTGTTATAAAGATAGTTGCTTTACTATACGTTACGCTAGCAGCAGTACATGTCACTAGCAACAATACATATGTCTCTGACAACAATCAGATGTCTCCAACAACAATACAGACGTCTCTGACAACAATACAGATGTCTCCAACAACAATACAGATGTCTCCAACAACAATACAGATGTCTCCAACAACAATACAGATGTCTCCAACAACAATACAGATGTCTCCAACAACAATACAGATGTCTCCAACAACAATACAGATGTCTCCAACAACAATACAGATGTCACCAACAACAATACAGATGTCACCAACAACAATACAGATGTCTCCAACAACATGCAGATGTCTCCAACAACAAACAGATGTCACCAACAACAATACAGATGTCTCCAACAACAATACAGATGTCTCCAACAACAATACAGATGTCTCTGACAACAATACAGATGTCTCCAACAACAATACAGATGTCTCCAACAACAATACAGATGTCTCCAACAACAATCAGATGTCACCAACAACAATACAGATGTCTCCAACAACAATGCAGATGTCTCCAACAACAAACAGATGTCACCAACAACAATACAGATGTCTCCAACAACAATACAGATGTCTCCAACAACAATACAGATGTCTCCAACAACAATACAGATGTCTCCAACAACAATCAGATGTCTCCAACAACAATACAGAGGTCTCCAACAACAATCAGATGTCACCAACAACAATACAGATGTCTCCAACAACAATGCAGAGGTCTCCAACAACAATCAGATGTCACCAACAATAATACAGATGTCTCCAACAACAATGCAGATGTCTCCAACAACAAACAGATGTCACCAACAACAATACAGATGTCTCCAACAACAATACAGATGTCTCCAACAACAAACAGATGGCACCAACAACAATACAGATGTCTCCAACAACAATACAGATGTCTCCAACAACAATACAGATGTCTCCAACAACAATACAGATGTCTCCAATAACAATCAGAAGTCTCCAACATCAATTAGATGTCTCCAACAACTATAATGTGAATATAATTGACATAAGGCATCTGAGGCTAGAAAAGAGACTTGAGACATGAGCAAGGTGACGTGACCTTCACTATGGCTGTCTCGTGCCTTTAATTTTTGACATCTGCAATGTTAAATGGGATTCTTGTACTGTGATTTGTGGATTTGTACTTACTGGATTTGTGCGTCCCTTGAGGGACTTGAAGTAGATGAGGGTAGAAATAGTCTAAGCTACTCTATCCCTTTTAAATGTATTTTATTGTCTCAATAAACGTACATGAACTTAGGCGATATTCAGTATTGAATCTTTCACATTCTGTATTTTAATAGATTTTCCAGCACCACTTTATGGTTTGGGATTGGATTAAACCCCATCAACTTCTGGCGGGTTATTAGCGACACAACAGCAGCTTACTGACCAATCAGCAAGTGTAGGAAATTGTTGGCATTTACAGTATGTGGATGAAGAACTGTAGAGAGGTACGATACGGGCAGAGGACGTGAACGAAGCACTGCTCGAGAACAGCACGTACGTCACCCAGCTCGTCCTCATAAACACAGGCTAAAACTGCAGTCCGTCCTCATACAACCCGTCCTCTACTCAAGTCCATTACATCCAGCGGCTGACCCCATAGACCGATTCATAAATTTTAACACGCAGTTCATTCAAAATAGGAATTTTCTCAAATATAAATAATATTATAATATATTAGCATATTGTGCATATATAGACATAGGTGAAGTTAGGTGTTTAGGTTCTGTTGGCGATTATTTGTCTTTGTAGTACGTGGGCAACCCGTCCTCGACTCAAGTCCATTACATCCATTTAAGCACACCTGATGCTTCTGTTCACCTAGCACAAGGTAAGTACCTGAGAGTTAGGTGACTGTTGTCTCCTGGTGAAGGTCACCTGATACCTCTCATCACCTCTGATACCTCTCATCAAACAGATACTCGTGGGCTTAAGTTATGAGTCCCATCCTGTTATCACCATATCCCACTCCGTAAAAATCACAATTGTTTTGCCTAGCCGGAAATGCACTAACCCAAGCAACCCACCTAACCTATCAAGGTCGATGGAAAGAAAACATCTATATTATGGTGGTTTAATTTTAACTAATTTGTTCGTCACATTTTTAGCGTATTGCTCGATTACGTAAATTGCGATGTATTAGGAGAAGGCCACTATCTCCAGAGGAAGATCACATCTCGAGAAGATCACATCTCGAGAAGATCACATCTCGAGAAGATCACATCACAGGAAGATCACATCTCGAGAAGATTACATTACAGGAAGATCACATCTCGAGAAGATCACATCTCGAGAAGATCACATCTCGAGAAGATCACATCTCGAGAAGATCACATCTCGAGAAGATCACATCTCGAGAAGATCACATTACCAGAAGATCACATTCCCAGAAGATCACATCTCCAAAAGATAACATCTCCAAAAGATCACATCTCCAGAAGATCACATTCCCAGAAGATCACATCTACAGAAGATAACATCTCCAGAAGATCACATTACCAGAAGATCACATTCCCAGAAGATCACATTCCAGAAGATCACATCTCCAGAAGATAACATCTCCAGAAGATCACATCACCAGAAGATCACATCACCAGAAGATCACATGTCTAGAAGATCACATCTCGAGAAGATCACATCTCCAGAAGATCACATTCCCAAAAAATCAGATCTCCAGAAGATAACATCTCCAAAAGATCACATCACGAGCAGATCACATCTCTAGAAAATCACATCTCCAGAAGATCACATCTCAAGAAGATCACATCTCGTGAAGATCATATCACCAGAAGATCACATCTCCAGAAGATAACATCTCCAAAAGATCACATCACGAGCAGATCACATCTCGAGATGATCGCATCTCCAGAAGACCACATGTCCAGAAAATCATATCTCCAGAAGATCACATCTCCAGAAGATCACATCTCCAGAAGATCACATCTCGAGAAGATCACATCTCTAGAAGATTACATCTACAGAAGATCACATCTCCAGAAGACCACATCGCGAGAAAATCACATCCCCAAAGGATTACATCTCGAGAAGATCACATCTCGAGATCACATCTCTAGAAGATCACATCGCCAAAAGATCACATTTCCGGAAAATCACATCACGAGAAGATCACATCTCGAGAAGATCACATCTCCAGAAGATCACATCTCCAGAAGATTACATCTCCCGAGGAAGATCACATCTCCAGAAGATCACATCTCCAGAAGATCACATCTCCAGAAGATCACATATCCAGAAGATCACATCTCCAGAAGATCAAATCTCCAGAAGATCACTTCTCGAGAAGATCACATCTCCAGAAGATTACATCTACAGAAGATCACATCTCCAGAAGATCACATCGCGAGAAAATCACATCCCCAAAGGATTACATCTCGAGAAGATCACATCTCGAGAAGATCACATCTCCAGAAGACCACATCTCCAGAAGATCACATCTCCAGAAGATCACATCTCCAGAGGAAGATCACATCTCCAGAAGATCACATCTCCAGAAGATCACATCTCGAGAAGATCACATCACCAGATGATCACATCTCGAGAACATCACATCTCCAGATGATCACATCAGCAGAAGATCACATCTCGAGAAGATCACATCTCGAGAAGATCACATCTCCAGAAGATCACATCTCCAAAAGATCACATCACCAGAAGATCACATCACGAGAAGATCACATCTCGAGAAGATCACATCTCCAGAAGATCACATCTCCAAAAGATCACATCTCGAGAAGATCACATCTCCAGAGGATCATATCTCCGGAAGATCACATCACCAGAAGATCACATCTCCAGAAGATCACATCACCAGAAGATCACATCACCAGAAGATCACATCTCCAGAAGATCACATCTCCAGAAGATCACATCACCAGATGATCACATCTCGAGAAGATTACATCTCTAGAAGATCACATCTCGAGATGATCACATCACCAGAAGATCACATCTCCAGATGATCACATCTCCAGAAGATTATAAATATCCCAAATTCGACGCTTGAGCCATATTTTGAAGCCAAATTCTTGCTCTCTACACGTATTCGCAGTTTGAAATTACGACTTTTTATTCCGAAAATAAGCCAATTTCTGAGAGCAGCGAAGGGTCACATTTTGCCCCAACCCCCCTGCAGTTTTCCATATATTATAAACATCCCAAATTCGAGGCTTGAGCCATATTTTGTATCCAAATTCTGGCTCTCAGCACGTATTTGCAGTTTGAAATTACGACTTTTTACACCGAAAATGGGCCAATTTCTTGAATGCAGCGATGAATCACATTTTGCCCTAACCCTCCCTACTGTTTTCAAAATATCCCAAACATCCCAAATCCTACACTTGAGCCATATTTTGGATCCAAATTCTGGCTCTCTGCACGTATTCGCAGTTTGAAATTACGACTTTTTATACAGAAAATAGGCCAATTACTGAAGGTCAGGTCAGGTCAGGTTGTGTCAGGTCAGGTTGAGTCAGGTCAGGTAGCATCAGATCAGGTTGCGTCAGGTCAGGTTGTGTCAGGTCAGGTTGCGTCAGGTCAGGTTGCGTCAGGTCAGGTTGTGTCAGGTCAGGTTGCGTCAGGTCAGGTAACGTCAGGTCAGGTTGCGTCAGGTCAGGTTGTGTCAGGTCAGGTTGCGTCAGGTCAGGTTGCGTCAGGTCAGGTTGCGTTAGGTCAAGTTACGTCAGGTCAGGTTGTATCAGGTCAGGTTGCGTCAGGTCAGGTAGCATCAGGTCAGGTTGCGTCAGGTAAGGTTGCGTCAGGTCAGGTTGTGTCAGGTCAGGTAGCGTCATGTCAGGTTGCGTCAGATTAGGTTTAGTCAGGTCAGGTAGCGTCAGGTCAGGTTGCATCAGGTCAGGTTGCGTTAGGTCAGGTAGTGTCAGGTCAGGTTGCATCAGGTCAGGTTGCGTTAGGTCAGGTAGTGTCAGGTCAGGTTGCATCAGGTCAGGTTGCGTTAGGTCAGGTTGTGTCAGGTTAGATGTCATTACCTAAACCATGACTGACATATGAAGGTGATAGTATCTGTGTTCCAGTAACATGTGTGAAAGAATCCTTGTGAACCACATTTATTCCTGATAGAGTCTGTACGTACCAGAAATATCGAAGTTTAACTGTTTTATGATATATAATGAGATAAAGAGAAAGATATGTATAGAGAGAGGAAGACATGGAGACAGAGAGAGTAAGCGACACAAGCACACATATACTCAAACTGAGACAAATATGAAAGTTTTACGTGTTCATTGCTGACTCAAAATCCGGAATTCTAGGTTCGATTACCAGTGGCTGCAGAAATGGCTTGGGCACATTTCCTCTCACCTAATGCATCTGTTCACCTAGCAGTAAATATGAACCCAGTACTTAGTCAGCATGTTGTGGGGTTGTATCGTGGGGTAGGGTAGTAATTGGACCTACTAAGCCGTTCACGACATGAAATGTTTGGGCACATTTCCTCTCATTAAATGCATCTGTTCACCTAGCAGTAAATTGGTAGCCAGGAGTTAGTCAGCATGTTGTGGACTGGTATCATGGAGAGCGAGAGAGGCAGAAATACAGAGAAAGAAACAGGCATAACATACAAAGTCAGAAAGAGAACAGAAGAGAGGAAGATCAGAGGAAGATGAGAGAGAGAGACAGCGAGAGAACGGCAACAGCCTGTTTGTATAAATTAGCTGTCCTCACTCCTACTCTGCAGATAAGGAGAAAAAACTCTTACAATGTTGATTGCCCTTTTTTTCTAACTAATAGCTTACCACAATTCCTACAACTTCTCTCACAAAGTGAAAATAGTCCCTTTCAGTACCATAAAAGTTAGTAAATTATTAACCTCCATGAGTCAAAAAAACACTTGAGTGTCTCTCTTTAAATTTTACTTCTGTGTATATTAATTTAAATATCGAAAAATGCCCTCAATATTGTCTAAGTTATCAACGTGTTGGTCTCCTTCTGGGCTTCACACTCCCCCTTCA